CTCCTTGGGTTTCCAAGGCAGTATCACTACGGAAGTAGGATTGCCCAACCTTCCTTCCGAGGAGTGGCCGGTGGGCTTGAACCGCCAGCCTTCTGGTGAGCAGTCAAGTGCCTTAGGCACTATGCTACCAGAGCTCCTAAAATATATAGAAAACTTCAACAATTCAACAACAAAAGGATAAACAATCCAATTAAAAGATGAGCAATAGACATGAATGGATCACTTCACCAAAGAGCACATTCAAGTGGCTAAAAAACACATGAAAAATGCTCGTAATCATTAGAGATTAAAAAACCAACCAAACTCACTGCTGTTGAGTCAGATCTGACTCATAGCTACCCCTCCTTGGGTTTCCAAGGCAATATCACTACGGAAGTAGATTGCCCAATCTTCCTTCCGAGGAGTGGCTGGGGGGTTTGAACCACCAGCCTTCTGGTTAGCAGTCAAATGGCTTAGGCACTGTAACACCAGAAATTACAATGAGATAACCATCCCACCCCTGCAAAAATAGCACTGATGAAAATAAATAAAATAAAACAACAAAGGCTGTATGGGGATTGGGACACTTACCCACTGCTGGTGGGATTGTAAAATGGTACAACCACTATGGAAAACAGTATGGTGCTTCCTCAAAAACTAAAAATAGAAATGCCATATGATCTAGCAATCCCCCCACTCCTAGGTATATATCCTAGAGATCTAATAGCAGTGACATGAATAGACATATGCACATTGATGTTCACTGTAGCATTATTCACAATAGCAAAAAGATGGAAACAACTTAAGTACCCATCAACAGATGGATGGATAAACAAATTGTGGTACATACATACATACATACAGTGGGACACTACACAGCTATAAAGAATGACGAGTTCTTGAAATATTTTATAACATGGATGAATCTGAAGGACATTATGCTGAGCAAAATAAGTCAATCACAAAAGGACAAATAATGTAGTATCTCACTTTTATAAAAAGAATACAGAAATAAATGTTCTTTGGTGGTTACCAAGGAGAGAGAAGGAGTCACTTTCTAGTTAGTAGATACTTGTTACTTTTGGTGATGGGAAAGGCAATACTGAACACAAGTGAAATCTGTACAACTTGACTAAGGTAAATGACAACATCAAGAAGTACACAGAATAAGGGGCATTATTGGTAAACGCTGTAACAAAAGCAATAATAATAAAAAATATTACATAGGTAACATAGGTAGATAAGTAGGCATATAGGAAGGCATATATGACCATATATGTGTGCATGTATAGGTGTATCTGCAGGCACATGTATATATGGGTTTGAGCGTGCTGCATATATACTCACATATACAATAAATCACATAGGGGGAACAGTTACAGATACTTCCTTACTTGCCTTACTGGGTTTGAAGGCTTAAGACCATAGCATAGTGGGGCAACTTGGTCAACTGGCATAACAAGGTTCATAAAGTTTATGTTCTACATCCTACTTTGGTGAGTAGCATCTGGGGTCTTAAAAGATTGTGAGTGGCCATCTAAGATACAGCTATTGGCCTCTACTCATTTGAAGCAAAAGAGAAAAAAAGAAACCAAAGACAAAGAAAACAGTCTACAGGACTAATAGCCCACACAAACCACAGCCTCATTTATCCTGAGACCCAAAGAATTAGATGGTGCCTGGCTACCACTACCAACCATTCTGACCAGGGCACAATAGATTGTCCTGGATAGAGCGGGAGAAAAACACAAACCAAAACTCAAACTCTTACAAAAAAAAAAAAGGTCAGACTTATTGGACCAGTAGAGACTACAGGAACTCCTGAGACTGTCACCCTGAGTTACCCTTTAAACTTGGAACTGAAACCACTCCCAGAGGTCATCTTTCAGCTAAATAACATAATGGCTCGTAAAATAAGCAATATCATCACTGAGTACTGAACTCCTCAAAAAAATCATCTCTATGAGATCAAATGGTCAACATTTACCCTAAAGCAATGATGAGCAGATATGGGGAGAGGTTGGGCAGAGAAGCTAGACTAATGAGAATAGAAATAGTAAGAATGTTGACACATTGTGAAAAATGTAACCAATGTCACCAAACAACAGTTATAGAAATTGTAAACAAAATTTGCTGTGTAAACTTTCATGAAAAACACAGTAAAATATTTTTTTAAAAAATCCCCAAAAAGTATATGACAAAGAACCATAATCTTTAGTATCACCAATCAGTTCCTTTTCCCTTGTTAATATGTACAAAGGATTATAAAACACACAGATTGATATAAATTAATGCAAATGATAGTGTGTAGCACCCAATAAATTTTATTATTTTGTAGTTGCACTTAACATAAGGAAGAATATTTTAATAAGCACCAGTGTTTATTCATAAAGCAACTCAAGAAGTTATGGAGTAAACTATATTTAGCAAAAATTCTGTATAAAATATATATATATTCTTTAAGCTGGTATTACCAAATATAGAAAAGTTGATTCTACTAAATTAATCTCCTCCTCTCTTTACGGCTTAGGTAGGTATTTAGAAAACTTACCACCTTTGCTCCTACTCAGGATCTCTGGTGATGTAGTGGTTAAAGAACGTGGCTACTAACAAAATGGTTGGTGATTTGAATTCACCATCTGCTCCATAGGAGAAAGATGAGGTAGGCTGCTTCTGTAAAGATTTACAGCCTTGGAAATCCTATGGGGCAGTTCTACTCTATGAGTTGGGATTGACTTGATTGCAGTGGGTTTGATGTTTTTTCCCCTCTCCTACTCTAGACTAACAAGGATGGAGGTCTACAAAGTTACATGTCAACTAATTACTTTGGCAACTAATGTGACAGACTAGTAAAGCAGTATATGTGAGAGAAAAGAACCATTAAGACATAACAAAAGGGATCAATTTTAGGTAAAAATAGCATATGAAAGGTATTTTATGAACTACTAGCCTTACCCAATGTGAGGTAGTGGTGTTGCTAATTAT